GGAAATCGGCTGAGGGGATTGCCGTCGTCTCCAACCACGCCCACCCTCCCTGGACTGTTGCTTTAACTCGATCCCGAACCGTGCCTTTAAATTATTGCTACATACGTATGCCTCACACAGGAATAAGTATAAACGATTTGAATCCTTCACAAAAACACCGTTTCTTCGAATATAAACAAACCGGCTGCTGTGTTTCCATCCGCAACTGCTGATGTTGCAACTGCTGCTGTTGGTGTAACTGCTGCTGCTGAACTGGGACTGGCTGGTGCGACAACACTTGGCTGACCTGTCGCACAGGTGTTTGTTGCATCGCCTGTTGCTGCACATGCGGTGCCTGCGAATACTGTGCCGGTCGTTGCTGGGGAACCTGTTGCTGGTATTGCTGTTGAACAGTCGGCTGCTGCTTGTGCGTCGCTTGCTGCTGAAACTGCTGCATTCCAAAACCGAATTGGGTCTGAGGCGGTGTCGTCTGGGGCTGCGGTTGGACGAAAGGCTGTGCTGGCTGGAAAACCAAATATAGTGAAATTATATGATGAAAATCGAACAATTAGAAACACACTGTTTCGCCAATAGTGCTATATCAGAAGCAAGTTACCTGGTCAAAACTGGCACCGGGATGAGGGTTTGCTGCCTGCGAACATGGCATTGCAGACTGAACTTGGGCCCTATGGTTCAACCTCAAATGTGGTTCAATTTAGAAAATTCGTAATCGTGAATGATTTGAGCTTACATCTGGTGATGTTGTCCAGACGAAAGAGGAGATTGTACAGCTTGATGTTGCTGTGGAGACTGCACCACCTTAACAGAACTTGCATCACAAAGATGCTAAATCATGGACAAAATTTCCGGCCCCAGAAACAATTCATACTCGCATTTATGTCTCATGCACGACAAAACTACTTCAGCTTTCCCTTTCGCCCTTTCCTGTCACTGCCCCTTACCATTACCCAGAAAGTTGACCGGGAAGGGCGCATAGTATACACCTGTTCAGTACCGAAAGCAAGACAAAAAAATCCTTGAAATCTTTGGAAATTCCATGAATAATTTCTGTTAATAACACCCATCAAAACTTTCTTAGACAACGGTCGAGAATCCCCCTGATAGACGCTTGGCCCTGGTCTCCTGATGCGGAAGGAGACAGCGAGACACAACAATACACAGAACAAAACTTACTACATATATTTTAAAACATTTACTGCACCGAAACCAGAAGGAAAGTCAAATTCTTCTTCTCTTTCCAAACCATAAAAAAACGTGAAAGTTGACCAAAAAGCCTCCACGCTTTCAAATATTTGTGCGCGTAAAAACTATTTTTTTGGCTTTTTTGAACCACAACAAAGTTTGCAAAGACGCTGACCGACTGTTGATGGAAAAGGCTGGACTTCTGTGATGCGAGCGCTCATTGCCGGATCACGCATCTGCGGTGGACATTGACATGGCACCACACTCGAACGACCATGACTATTGCTGTACAGTCATTCATTGAACTAACGGAAAATGACTGAGGAAATAATCTGGTCTGCATCAATTTAAGGAATAACCGGATTGGAAGAGGTGAAAAAAACCTACAGGAAATCCGTAACTGTTAGGATTCGGGTACTGCGGACTAGATGGAATCGCTGGCCGCAGGACTGCAGATCACGTTTGACTGCTGCGACATGGAAAATGGAGTAGGTGTGGAAGCTAAAACAATATTTCAGAGTTTCAAATCGATGATCATAACTACGCAAGACTACTCCGACCCCTACGAGTTATGAACATGCCTCAACAACATGTAACGTTGAAAAAGAAGTGCGCCTCTTGATTGCATATAACATCCAAATATCGTAGATATTTCTGCGTGCGTGAATGTTTTTCTTCATACACCTCGCGAGAGCAGAATACAAGTCGTACGCAACAGAACACTTTACAAAGGCCTAGGACAGGCGCTCTAGAGAGTGCTAATCGGCCAACGCTGTCAAGTGAAGCCTAACAGTTTTAGATATCGAGACATCGATTGTTTGCAGCATGTTGAATACAATGAGCAGCTTATCTCGGAGCAACTGGCTTGACGCAAGTTTACAAATTGGTAAAGTGAGCGACCATTGCAAGAGCTTTCTTATCTCTATTCAGCTATGTATCCAGGAATTCTCCCTGCTACCTGTTTTTTGGCAATTCTGACTCGAAGGTAAGCGCTTCATCACATTCCTCCTCAGGGAAGCTTCTGCCGCATAATGACAATAAAAAAGTGACTTCGGATGAGAGTGGAAGAGATTGCGACCGTGCGCAATATCGTGTGAGCTGCTGTTGGGATAACAAAAGGGATTCCACAACAATATTACTGTTCGTCCATCCATTTGTGCAGGATCAACCGTCTACCTGTAATTTATCAACGAGGAAGTTGTACATGGTCCACGAACAGGGTGTAAAAGACCAGACAACAAAGGAACAACTGGTGGTGTATATGCAGACACCCCTTCCGACGCGGTTTTCAGTCGTCGACGGTACACTCAACCTGTTGAAGACCTCGTTTAACTCTCGACGCATGCACCCTTCCCCCGACGCAAATTTCTGTACTGATGTCGACAGTGTGAACATTTATTACTATTTAATCACCTGTCACCTGTATCACCTGTCGTCCCGTTGATCATCGAATTGCTCGAGCGGGCGCCAGCAACGTCTCCATTCGTCCCTGTCGCGTGCTAGAGTGGTCCAGTGGATCCTCCTTGCTCGAGGGACACGAAGTCCATCATTCCTTTCGTTCAGAGCTTTCGTGAAGAAGTCTGACCATCGGGCCGGCGGTCGTCCAGGTGTTCGTTTGACGTCCCGAGGGATCCAGTCGGTAACCGCTCTGGTCCAACGGTCATCGCAAAATCGCATGACGTGTCCGGCCCACCTTATCTTCGATTCCTTGGCGAAAACGGCAGCGTCCCTGATCTTCGATCGTTGGCGTAGTTCGGCACTCCGGATTCCCCTCTGCACTTGCGTGTATAGGGTTACTCCTAGCAATTCTATTTAATAAGAAATAAAAATGCTCCCTGAGGATCATCTGCGTTTGAGATAGCGATTTTTGTCTTTTTTGGTTACCCCTGTATATCAGAGAAGTATGCTGAGAATTCCATCACAGCAAGACCAGGATCAGACGAGCTGGTTCTCGCAATCTAGCACAAAGGGAACTTTCAACTTCTCCACGAATTCGAAAATACGAATGGTGGTTTCCTCTATCTGTAAGGGATTGACGACAAGTTTGACGACATAGTTCATAGCTTGATAGTGGAATGCCTTTTTAGACCTGTCATATTTTTGCTTGTACTAATAAGTAACCAGCCTAACTGTAAGTGCTGATAGAATGTAATTTTCGGATAGCCTATTTCTTGTTATGAATTGTATTGCACTACTTATCTTTAAGGGCTTCAGTGGTGTAGTGCAAGAGGCGCGCGGTCCTGGTCAAATTTCTGGGTGCGTGCGTGCCGTCAGGGCCAATCAACGCCCTTTCATACCCTCCGTGATTCACCTGTTGGTTACCAAACTTCTGGGAACGGGAAAAATACACCTGACTTTTTCATCGCCCTGGCCCTCTCGCGATTCATTGCAAAAGCCAAATCGCATTCTAAAAAGCCGCTTACGCAGTATATTAGAAAAATAGAAGTAGACAATGCGGTCGCCACATCCTATAAACAGGGCTCTGCGATCACGCGCGCAAATGTTTTAGCCTTATCCTTATTTATGTTCATTAAGTACTTTCAGATATGGAATATACGTAGTTGATTCCTTCTATTTTATAAAGCGCTAACTTTGTGTGTCGGTTTGTATGTCTGTATGTGTGTGTGTATGTATGTATGTATGTATGTATGTGTGTGTGTATGTATGTATGTATGTGTATGTATGTATGTGTGTCCGTCCGCAAAATGAAGTGAGTGAGAAGGAAGCTCATGGGATAAACAAACCGCTAACAAATCGGGTAGCTTACAGGATTTGAGATATCAATGTTTTGTAGCAGGATAGTTGTGATAACACTCTTAGGGCTATATAAACACCTGCTTAGCACACTTCCGTTCATTCCACATGGTGCTGCAGTGGCAGCTGGAGGGCAGTGGAGAGAGGAAGGGAGGAT